GGGGGGTGTAGCGGACATTATAAAGGGAACTAATACTGCCTCGCTACTGAGCTAGTGTTTTAGTGATGCTTCATAGAGTCTCTCTCATTTCAGGCAAGTTCAGCAACGGCGAGCCTGTTTAACCCTTGGAATGAGGCAAAAATAACATTCCAAAACAGAATAAGGAGTAGAGCTTACGCAGTTGCCCTATGCTCCGGAACGAAGAGGACTAAGGCTATAGCAGCATTAACCCTCAAACTGGCTTTTCACACTCATTTCAATCAAAACGTATCTAGCACTTGAGTTGAGGAGGTATTTTGTAAACAACAGCTTTAAAACTTCAAACAGAACTATTTCATTGTGTCCTCTTTATCTCTGATTTACAACAAACCGATTGTCACTTATCATAGATAGTACCAAATGACCGGGTAAACATTAATCTTCAGGAGGATAGTTAATGACCCCATTCCCAAACATTCAAAACAATTTCCTCATTACTAAACAAGCAAATGACTGGTGTTGTTGATAATCATTTAAGGATCCCATGGGTGAAAATAGTTTCCAAACAATCCTTATTACTAAACCTAGAGAAGGGTCATTTAGTAAACCTAAAGTGTTGTTGACAAATATTGAAAGATCTCTCGAGTGCAAGTCAGTTTTAAGAAAAATTAACTAGAATATCCCCCGTTAACAAGCAATTCGTTCGAAAAGGTGACAAATGTGGATTAATTTGTCTTAAGAGTGCAAAAAAAAGGATCTGAGCATAAAAGTAAAAATCCCATGGATGACTATAGAGCATTTGACCAATCTCGGAAATCTAGACTTATATATTAGATAAATTTGTACTAACTTCTGTTGCAGATTGAACTATTTTAATAGAGAAATTAAAGACTAAAATGACCTTAAAAGGTAAATATTTTCTATCCAATACTTTTCCAAGCATAAAATACTTGAGTATAAAAGCCGAATATCAAAAATTATGGTGTAGTTTTTACAATAGTTTTTGTTTATAGCAACGTAAATTTCCACTGACTTAACCAAGATCAAAAGGCAATATTTTTGGTATTCATTGATCAAGTTTTAAAACGAATAAATATGGAATTATGATGGGTATTAATTGAGCTCCATTCAAAAGTTATGACCTATTTAGAAAAGTAAGATATTCATATGAAGCAGACTTTTTCAAATAACATCTACATAAGAATAAGAAGAAGGATATGGAGATAACGGACAGTATCCAATATCAAAGTCAATTCAACAATACAAAATAAGAGCAGAGCAAAAGCGGACCTCCGAAACATCAGAGGTGGGATCAGGTCCCATGGAAAAGTGAGCATCCCCTGCTGACGGGTCACACACGCCGTGTGCCACATTGTTTTTATATTTGGTTGTTTAACTGAAAAATCCGTCGTCAATTCAGTGTATAAATAATTGATTAACAATTAGTATGAAAAACGGCAGTCAGCATTTGACTCAATGATAAATTGTATTTGCTGACAAGGTTATTGTATCGATCATAGTACTTACGAAATGATGACTTTAAACGAGACTGCTGATATTCTTGTTTCATAAAAGTTATTTTCATTCGAACGTCGGCTCAATCTATTTCAGTGAACTGGACGAAAATCACTCTGTCTGCCACATCTGTTTCATATTTCGATGTTTTACTGATCAATAGACGAACACCAATTAACAAATTAATGGTATGACACATGATATGAATTCAGTCAACTTTCCTTTTTCATGTAATTTACATTCCACTATCACCGGCTTATGTTGTTTATTCTCAATTCAAACACCATGACCTAACACGATCAATCTTTAAAGCAAGGCATGCTACTAACTGATAGGTTTATGTTTCAGGGATTTCAACAATCTAATTATATCAAAGTCGGCATTTATAGTGAATTTTATGTTCATTACACTTTATAATGGCCTTGTGAGTAAATATAAAATCACTAGGTTAGATTTTGGCTCACTTGTTTCATACCAATTGTTATTGTGAATGTCTAGCTGATCACTATATATACAGTGAGTGTGACCGGTCAGTAGGGGGATGCTTACTCCTCCCTGGCACCTGACCCCATCTAAGAACTTCGTCTGCTTTATGTCCTCTTTACTTACTTGCATTGATTATAGATTTCTTGGGACTGGAAATATTCATTATGTTTCCATTTAATTAAAAAAATTCAAGGTTAAAATATGATACTCTTCGTATACGTACACAAATAAAGACAATGATGACATGCACTTCAATTTCAACTTTTATTTAAATACATTGTAGCAAGTAGCCTGGTAAGGATTAAAAAAAAACCTGCATAGGTATTTCATATATCTCAGTTTATTCGATACGCAAGAGCATGACTTGCGTATGAGCAATTTTTAAAACGAGGTAAATTATTGACAAACAAGAAAGTTGATGAAACAATAATATCAGCATTCTCGTTTAAGTCATCATTTCGTAAGTTCTATGATCGATACAATGACCTTGTCAGCAATTACAATTTGCATTGAGTCAAATGCTGACTGTCGTTTTTCATACTTATTGTTAGTCAATTATTTATACACTTAATTGACGACGCAATTTTCCGTTATTTCCCGATTATAACAAGGAGCACACGGCAGTTGTGACTGGTCGGCAATAGATGCTCACTCCTCAATGGCACATGATCCCACCTCTGATGCTTTGGAGGTCCATGTTTACTCTGCTTCTATTTTGTGTTGTTTTATGGACTTTTGATCTTGAATACCATTCGTAATCTCCATATGTTTCATGGTCTTTCAGCGAAATAAAATATACATTTTGTGAACCTCCTATAGATGCAGAAAGAGTTCAGTCATTGATACTGCACGCCTTGGTGGTATCCTTCATATAAGGTGTTCTTGATGCCATTCCATCTGTACATGATTTGTACAACCTCTATACCATACTATTAATTTCCTTGTCTCGGGAGACCGAGATAAGACGTGTGGTGTACCCTTTATATCCAGACAATTCGTTCACATTCCCGCCTCTCCAAGATGGCCAAAACTAGATCGTCTGCTTCTTTACCAAAAAAGAAATTAGAGGTGTCTTCGGGGCGAGGAGGAGCTATATTTGGAAACATAGCAGACCAATTTAGCTACATGGCATAAAGTGTGATTAACAATGACAAAGTTTATCTCCTCTGTGGATGTTTTGGGGGCATAGAGACAAAAATATTGCATTTTGTGTTTTTCTCATCTACTGCTGTCAGGGACGTTTTCTAAGAAGACATTTTATAACTGTTAACTGGCCAGGTTAAGGGATATTGTAAAGTGCACGATGTGCTTACACGTAATTGCTAGAAAGTTGGATGTTCTGGCTAATAATGCCGTTCAACGACTGCAAACAAGTAGCATTTGAAAACACCCTAAGTTATTGTACATTAAGAATATTGGCCTCTTTTATACTTTTTAAACGGTTACTATTTAAAGTCCGTATAATTGTGATACTTACTAGATTTATATACCTGTCTTTTCTCTCTCTCTCTCTCTCTCTCTCTCTCTCTCTCTCTCTCTCTCTCTCTCTCTCTCTCTCTCTGCTTCAGCATTGATATTGTTATATACACAAAAGGGATCTAACATTGTTTTGCACACTAAAACTTAAGCAAATGGCACCACACTTTCACACTTTCTTTTTTCTGTTTTAAGCTCTTTACCATTATTATGAAGAAGAAAATTAAATTGTTTTTTGTGTTCGGGGTGTATATATATATATATTTTTACAAGTAAATGCAACAATTGATCATTTATTGTCAAGCCCAAAAAAGGTATAAAAATTTAAATTCTAGAACTGTTCAAATATTTCACTTTTTAATTTAATTAAAAAGTTTAATTATATGCAGTAAACCGGTTGCATCAAAACAGTAAATAAGTTTAACATTGGTGCTAAATTTTAAAACCACTGGATTCTACGAGAGATAGAAACACTTAATAAGCCTTGCAAACAGTTATTCCCTCGGCCTTTTCTACACGTCTTTCAGCAGTGAGTTATCGTTCATAACACCTACCCCTAGCGCAAAAGGCCTACATTTCTTCTCTTGTTTATATCAGCAATTGAACAAAAATCCTCTATTGATTAAAAATATCAGGGGTTAAATGTTACATGTCAAGCAAATGGCATCACACTTTCTGTTTTCTGTTAAGGCAAGTTTACCATTTCTGAGGACATAGCTTGACACTTTGAACAAGTTTGCGGAAAACTAAGAATTTTTAATCTCATTAAAATTTCAAAAAAAAACTATCTTTTTTTCAAGTAAAGCTTTTCCTTATACAATTTATTTTCGAATTCTCTCAAAAAATCAGCTTCTAAGGTTTGTATTTGAATATTTTTCAACTTTTCAAAATTTAATTACATCAAAATCAAGACATGCAAAAATTAATTTTTAAGTTAATGTTAAAATAGTTTAATGTTACTTCTATTTTGTTGTTTTTGAGTTTCGATTCATGGACTAAGGAGAAGAATTTAACGTCAAATTTTCAAACTAGAACGACCTTCATATATGTATGAATTTATTTTAAATTTTAAAAAAAAATCATATCATATATTGTATTTGAATATTTTACAAACTTTAAAAATCAAGATATGCAATGTTTGATTTTAAAGTAAATTTTAAAATACATGCAGTTAATAAGGCTTAAGACTGTTCTTAGTTCATGGTCTTGAGGTCTATTGCAATTTCTCCTTTTCCTTAAATGTTAAGCGGCTTTAACAGGAAACGTTTTCGATAATGATAGATATCATTTAGTGCACATCATTGAGATTAGATAATCATTTTTTTAACGAGAAAAATCTACGCAGAATAACAGCTAGTACTTAACCAATTGTGATTATCAATGACGATTTTGTAGGTACGATAACCGGGGTAACAGGATACACGGTGTCCGCTGATGGCCTATAAACCGGTGATGGGGTACGAGTACTCCAACACATTCCCACGTCACCGAGTACAGAGGAGAGACAGAGGGGGACTTTGTGCCCAGGGCAGTATAAAAGTAAATCAGGCACATCGGCACCAACACTCTTAACCTGGAAATCTGGTGATATACTCTCTTGTTACACCGCAGATTGTTTGACACAATGGCGGCCTCTGTGTTGTTGGTTTGTCTGTTGGTGGGTCTGGTCTCTGGTCAGATGATGATGACCACTGACAGTGGGATGGGGCCGGACATGGCCACGGATGATATGGGGGGACAGACGGACGAAGTGGCGACAGGGTTACCGGACTCCACTGTGATGGAGATGAGCACCACCACCACCATGGCTCCCACCACTGAAAAAGGTCAGCACTGATAGCAAGTTTCTGTAACAGTTATAATTTTTTTTATTGTGCATTTTTAAAATCCGGGGCGGATAAAAGTTACCAATTTAAGAGAGGTGAATTTTCAAAAAAAAAAAAAAAAAAAGACCCAATATTTCTTTTCATTATAACATTTTACTTCTGTATGAAAAATTGCAACTTTTTGTGTGGATACATGATAGCATTGTATATTAGCACCTTTCAATATATCAGTGAGAAGGTGTGTCATATCAACTGTTACTTTTTATGATTCTTTAAATATTGTAAATTCAATTTAAACTTTTAAAAATCTTGACATACTATAATAATAATTTCCAATGGTTAAGGAATATTTTTATTTATGATGTACAATCCATACAACATTGTGTTTTGAAAATTGTATCATTTCAACCATGTCATTTTACATGTACATGTTTTGCTAGCTGCAGGCAAAAAGAAAATGTTCCTATACAACACCTCTTTACTTAGATAGATTATCTCTGCTTTCATTTTCCTACTCGGGGTCTCAATCATTTTTTTTTTTTTAGATATCCTTATTATTTTGCAGTTCATATCAACGTACATAACACAATTTATGGATAAATAAATATATTAGTAAAATAAAAACTTAAATATTAATTTTGTCTTGCTTGGTCAGAAGGGTTGAGCTGCAGAGGAGGGGGAGGGGGGTACTTTTATGTATAAATGACTCTCTTTGTATTTCCCATGGGTCCAAGGTAATCTTTTCCTTTTTTTTTCTTACATTACAAATCTGAAAAAAAAACTCACATCCATACCCTCCTCTTCATTAAATATAGATTCTTGCATGACTATCAGTATAAGCAAACGACTGATTGATTTTAAAAAATTCAAAGAATGGAACGAATTTAATATTAACTCGTCAGAATCAAACACATCTGAAATGGCATGAAACTACTGCAGACTAGTTTTTGCCATGAAAAAAATAATAATGAAGTTTGGAAAAACATGGTTTTACTTTTTGCTACGATTATATTTTTCCGGAATTAGGTTCATCTACCGTTAACGTTTTAAACTTTAGAATTTCAATGGAGGCAAAAATGAATGAAATGAATGCTGAAAAACACAAGAGTCTTTTATTGAAGATGTAGGTCAAATTAACCTGTGAACATAATCTTTGGCTACGTAAATTAAGGTTATTTTTAAATCTAGCTGCTTTGAGTTCAGTTTGATCAGTAAAAATCATGTGTGAATAACTTTGAATAATGTAAGCAGTGGCGAATTTAAGGGGGGGCGTACCCGGCGCGCGCCCCCCCTAAAATTGTCAAAGTTAGCGTTAATCAAATATGTCTACTTGGTAGACCTCATTTTCACCATTCAAAATCTCTAGAATCCAGGAGCTTCCGGGGGCTTCGCCCATTCCCCCACACAGGGCTTTGCCCTGCACCCACTGAGGACCTCAAGGCGGCCCCCAGACCCCTTGCCTAATTTTGGCGCCCCCTTTAACTCCAAATCCTGGATCCGCGCCTGGTAAGGTCTGACTCTTAGGTTGGAGAAAGGGGAGGGGGTAGGTCTTGGTCAAGAAATATCAAGCGGTTATTCAGAAAAATTCTTATAAGCAATTCTGTAAACTCTCTTTTTTTTGCACGTTTTTTCTTCAAAATTTACATAGGAGAATTCTCGCAAATTAAATAGGCCTACAGCAGTACACAGGTCGATACACATTCTGATTCTTCATTTACACACATAAATGCTGTGAACTAGATCATGCCATCCTAGTCTGGGACTGTAGGACACAGAGATAACCCTAATGTATCAGAGATAATTCTGTGTTTGATGTAGCAATTAACACGGTCGTTAACATTGGGAGGAACAATCCGATGCGACACAATCTCGGGGGGATTCCTCTGTCGTCGTGTATCGTTTACCTGTCGCAGGTAACCCACAAAGTGCAGTGTCAGCTATCTATAGTTATCTCAGCTGCACTTCCAGAGTTATAGAAAAACTCTGTCAAACAAAACCTTGCACTGAATGTGTCAAAAGGACTTAAACTAAAGGGGGATCACAGCAAATAAATTGTCATTTTAATCATGTTAATCAAATAATTTTATATTTTATCCCAGTGTCTATAAGGTTAGTTGCCTTTGGTCAATCTGACTTTAGAAGTATTCATTGTTTTTTAGTGTCAGCTATCTATATACTTATCTCAGCTGCACTTCAAGAGTTGCGCAATGCTTCACACTAAATATGTCCCAATTGGCCAAAAGTTAATGCTGAGGGGGATCAAAATCTTAAATCAAAGCAAATGAATTGCAATATAATTCTATCAAATTATTCATTTACAACAAGTGATGGGCTGATAAAGGTGCAGTTTGTATGACTTGTTAAGAATTTTGGATTCAGTTTTTTAACCCCCCACCCCAACCCCCACCCCAAATCATGTATTACAAGTGAGGATGTGAAACTTTTAATATCAAACTTCTTGTTATAACAATTAAGATACAATAATTATGTAATTGACAGTGTTAAGTTGATTGAACTTGTTAAATTTTGTTTTAGATCTTTTAGTTTGAATTGGAGTGTTACAATGTACTTTGTATAGGAATTGTTACGTTACTATGGTGTATTTTACAGCATGTACCGATGCACTTGGTCGGGAGTGTTTCCGATACAAAGATGAAGACTGTGTTGGTGTGTACGAGACTTGGGCCAGGGCCAACTGCACTCTGCGATGTGGATACTGCCCACGTACGTCAAATTCTTACATAATAATAATATGAGAAAAATATAAGAGTAAAAGTGGTTGGAACCTTGAACTCTAACATAAGCATCAATATTAAATCAGTTCAGCTGCATATCTTAAACTGTTATAGTGAAATTAATGATGACATTGACCTCGTCAGGCCTTCAGTTTAATTTTGTCATCATCATAGTTTTTAAGTTGATGAAAAATGTTTTTCAAGGGACTCTGTTATTATTATTGGATGGTGTGTGTTTTTACAGAGAAGTTACCATGTGTGGACAACATTAACTGCTGCAGGCAGTTTGGGGCTGATGTGTGTAATCAGGCCTTGTGTCTAATTTTGTCATATATAGTTTATAACTGTGTTTTTACAGAGAAGCTACCCTGTGTAGACAACATTAACTACTGCAGTCAGTTTGGGGCTGATGTCTGTAATCAGGAGGTATATGGACAATACATGAGAGAGAACTGTAGAAAGACCTGCAACTTCTGTAGAGGTACATCAAATCATGCACATATAATCATGATAATCAAAATCTTGCACTTAATTTGTTGCACTTTAGATAAAAAAGACAAAGACAACCAGGTTCACTAAAAGTCCATTTTTTGTACCCTGACACTCAGATTCCAAAAACATGCACTGATATTTTTTTGCTCCTGAAGATTTATTACCTGAGTTGAGCTAAATAAGCTTGTAAATTCCAGTGTAAGTTACCTGTGAGTTACCTGATGATTTCTGTTTCAGCTCCAACAGATTACCTAGTCTCTAGTACCACCACTACTACTACCCCAGGTAAGTCACCTCTTACAGCTTAATTAGAGACAATAAATAACAAGTTGGTCAAAGAGCATTAATGCAAAAATGTGCAAATACAGCTTTTTTGATTTGAAATTGAAGCATTTGAATAAGAAATAAATAATTTCAAATTGCTTCTTTTGCTAATTTAAGATGGACTGATTTTTATTTTTATGATTTCTTTTACAGAACCAACACCAGAAATAACAACTTATAACCCAGGTAATTAATATTTCTCTGTTTTCTGAGGTGATTTTACACCAAAGGAATCCAAAATTCAATATAATTGACAGAGCTTACAGCCACAATTAGAGGATAAGTCCGCTGAACATTACGGCAGATACCATGGTCCTAACTACCTTCATAAAACAATGGATCCAAGGTCACATGCCAGGCCTATATACAAGGCCTTATCCTGAGTATTGTCTTATGTGGAGCTGTTTTAATACTTGATATCGCGATTACTTAACTTAGCAGAACTCTTTCGCCATGGAGGTAGGAAACGTCTCTTGGATGGGGACAAATGTACTATTACATACAATGCATGATCGATTCATTATAAGGACAGATAAGTAAAAAAATCGTGGTGGAATACCTTGCTAACAATCTCTGAACCAGCCTCATCAATTTTCGAGAGGAGCTAATCCTAAAATGTTACATTTTCAACGATATTTTTAACTTAACTGACTCTTCTCATTAAATGTTCATTGAAAATTGTCACATTTTATAGCTGATTAAATATTCTAAACTTCCTTGGCAATATATTGTACTTTCGGCATAAAATTGTTCAAATCATTTGATTATCACTACTGTAAACAATGTCATGTGCCCCACTGTAAACAATGTCATGTGCCCCAGAAATCTTGCAAGATTTAGAGATTTCTCAACTCCCCACAAAAGAGCGGTAGTAAGTTAGATAACTGCCAGTGACTGGCGGTATTATGTAATACAATTTAAATGCAAGTTTATTGCACGTTCTGAAATGAAAATTAAAATGTTAAATCACAGTTGTATGATGCAAAGACTTGTCCAGTTGTTGGTTTTACCCTGTTTATGAAATAAAAATTGAAATTTCTTTTTAAACTCCAGCTGCTGAATGGTGTAAGGACAAGACCAACTGTTGGTATTACCCTGATGAGAAGTGTGTCGGACTGTACGAGGACTGGGCCAGGAAGAACTGCCCATTAAGATGTGGATACTGTCCAGGTAGGTCCAGAATTAGGAAGAACTGTCCATTCAGATGTGGATACTGTCCAGGTAGGTCCCCGAATTAGGAAGAACTGTCCATTCAGATGTGGATATTGTCCAGGTAGGTCCCCGAATTAGGAAGAATTGTCCATTCAGATGTGGATATTGCCCAGGTAGGTCCAGAATTATCCCAAGATTCTGCATACCAGGTATGTACAGAGTCTTCAGTGATTTTATTATCAGGAATTTTATTATAAAAGGATTTCAAACATTTTATTCCAGATATGTATTTTTTTTTAACAAACTTACATGTAGACGAAACTTTGGATTTTATGTATTATAGATTTTTATTCAAAACGTTTTCGTATAATGTTATTTTGCTCTTTTTTCTTCCATGATATACATACTGTAGATTCCTAATTTTTTGCGAGTACTTATTATCGCGAATAGGCTCTTCAACGGCAGATCGTGAGAATAATTATTCACAAGGGATGGTTGATCAAGAGATTTTACATTGATTTCAGCACCATAATAATAAAGACGAGTAATTTTATTTCGCATATAATGCTTCTTGTGAAATTACGCTATAATCAATTCCATGTGTATATTTAGGAATTTACAGTACTGTTTTGTAGTTACAATAATGAAGCCTGCTACATTTTTTTTTTTTTGAAGAGCCGTTCTACTGAAAACATCAGATAATAAAAAAGGTTGCAAAGGGCTACATTATATCAGCAAACTAAAAGTTTTATCAAATATATATTTATCCACATAATTTTTTTTTTTAATTGCATTTTATCAGATTTTCTACCACCTTGTGAAGATAAAGACTCCAGCTGTGATGGTTTTCCCGAAGCAGCCTGTACCAACCTAACTTACAGAGCCTACATGAGAGAAAACTGTAGGAAAAGATGCAATGAGTGTACATGTAAGAATCAGGGGAAGACCTTCATTGTGGACAATATGAATTCAATTTGATTAATTTTGTAACCTCTACAAATACAATGCAAAATGAATGGTTCGCAGCAATTAATATTTGCAAGTTGAAATAGGCCATAAAACCCAAGGATATTTCTCTCTCCCAAATAAAACTTAGTTTACAGTATTGCTTTTCTTTTATATAATGATGATTGGTTTGTTTCTTCAGACCCAGGAGAGTCGCTGACACCTAACACCCCACCTTACCCTGTAACTACCACCACCCCCACCACTGTCATCACCCCCTCCCAGAGGCCGGGCGGTGTCAACCCCACCATCGATGTGGAGCCATCTACACCTAACACTGGAATGCCCCCCACCACCACCCAGAGGGTCCTACCCACAGGGGCAGGTAGGGAACTCTTATTTATAACACTGCCTTTTGCCAAGAGGGCCTATCACAGGTCAAGGTAGATAACTTTTAAGCTATATAACAGTTAGTACAATTAAACCCTTTTCTGAAAATAACATCTCATCTGTGCAGAATTGGTTGGCAGAGCTTATTCTGTGAATTTAATTTGTTGAAAACATGGATTTTATAATTATGGTCACATGAAAAAAATTCAATTCTCAACATGTTATAGATTTTTCAGGAAGAAAATCATGTCTTATATGAGCATGGCTCATGTTATTGAAGATGGTGCTTGCTCTGCTGATAGAGTAACTAAATCCAAAGCAAAATACTGTACACAAGGAAATTTTCGCCCCCATTTTTTTTTCGCCCCTTTCGCCCTACTCTCATTTTGGCGAGTTTAAAACGGGGCGAATTCAAAGAATACAGTATAATTTCTTAAACATAACTATGACTGGGCGATTTTAAAACAGTGCAAACTTGTTTGCAAGTGTGAAAGGGAGAAAATAAGACTGGGCGAAAATAACCCTGTATACAGTAATACTTTTCAACATGTGACTTTTACAGATTGTAAAGACAAACAAGACTGCACGGGACTATCCTCTGAAGCTTGTGTTGGCGTGTTTAAGAATTGGGCCCTCGATAACTGTCCAAGGACCTGTGGCTATTGTACAGGTAAAACAAAAAAAACATACATTAAAGACCGCCATTCAATAACAAGCAGATTTAAGGAATGCTTACATTATTTTCTTCCTTACACATATTGGAAAATATGTTTCTCAAATCATTACATAACCAGTGTTTCATATCTTCTGAATATTAACTTTTCTTACATGGGTTTTCTGGAAATTCTTCTTGTGTTTCTTGGCCTGTAGACTGTTACATATTTTGACTGATTCTACTAAATGATTCCTAGCTCTAACTCCAATATGTAAGAGTTATTTATGGGTTTTTGCTATACAGGGGATGTCCAGGAATGCCGGGATTACGAGGAATGCGACAAACTGCCCGACACCGTCTGTACCGACCCTACCTACAGAGCCATTGCTAATACGGCCTGCCGCAAATTCTGTAAACTCTGCACAGGTGAGAACTTATGACAAAAGACTTGCAATTGTCTTACATGTAAATTGATAAAAATGTAATTTTTTAATTGTCTTTAAATAGTCATACATGTATATACTGGTATATATGTATTGAAAAAAGTGTTAATATTGATGTAAATTGAAATATTTTGCACAGTTAACAGCTAGAGCTGATTGTGGCTAACTGTCTGTAATTAATACATTTATTGACTGTATTTCATATTGGTCAAAATGATAAAAATTCAAATTAACTGCATGTTATATCTAATTTTTGATATGATGCATATATAGACTAATAATTAAGAATGTCTTTATTTATAAAGTAATGGCTGTCCCCACAAAGCCAATTGTTATGGGAACAACAGAGGCCATGATGGTACCCACCAAAGGTCAGGGGTCAGGGTCAGTTACAGAGGACCAGACCCCCTCAGAACAACCGTCCTCAGAGTTTGTCTCCATGCCAACCAAACCAGCAGGTTCTCAGGCCATGACAACCAAAACCACCACAGTGTCAGGTGAGCTAGATTCCGTGTTTTTTGAAATTTATGAAAACAAAGTTAAGATACAAGACATCTTTATTATAAGTATAAAACTTTGAAATGTTAGTCTTCCCTGGCAAATGTGATCACTTACGAGTGTGACCATAGTATGCAGAAATTTGGAAAAAAATAGACTTAACAATAATCCATCAAATGAAGCACTATTTAATCCATATCTTAGGCGTTTAAGCTTATAAATTTATGCAAATTGACTTAAAATCAGATGGTTGCTAAGGATTTTATTTATTTATTTTAGGAGGAAAAACTCATTCCGCCCACACACATAAACCACATGCAACACATACCCATAAACCTCACGATTCCCATGGACATGGAGGAAAAACCCTGCCCACTCTCTTCCCCCCAATCCCAACAGGTGATGGTAAGTATGGAGATTCAATCATTGATTTATTTTTCATGCTCGTAACCTTATGTACACACACACCCTTACTATGTTGTGTAAATTTAATCTGAGATCCTGCAAACTTTTGTATCTTTGTACAAGTTTTGCTTGTGATCATTATGTGCTTATAATTCATAGATAAAAGCACATAGGCAGAATACTTTTGCAGTTTTTGTATTACCCTTTGCAGCTGCCATTTTTTAGTGTTTTTTTTTTGTGTGTGCTTCTTTTCCACTGATTTGCTCTGTGATGTAATTTTTGTTTTCATGAATCATGTATGAATGTAAATCTGATTGTCATTTAATTAGATTAGATTTTAAATTGTCCATTAGACACTAATGTCTTGCTTATAAAATACAATACATGGCTGTTAAATCAAAGACAATGCCTCAAGGAAATTAGCTTGCAGTTTGAAATTTTGTCTATGTATATATTAATGTCTTTTCCTCTCTGCTGCTTTTGTAACACCCTGTGTTTTGCTTTAGCTTGTAAAGACAACCCCGATGTGAACTGTACACAGTACACACAAAAGTCGTGTGAGGGGGCGTACAAGGCATGGTCTATCATTAACTGTCCTATACACTGCGGCTACTGTGGGGGTAAGTCATAGAGTGACTGTAGTCAAAATAGTCATTGAGTAACTAGTCAAAATAGTCATAGAGTGGCAGTAGTCTAAATAGTCATAGAGCGACTATAGTCAAAATATGTATAGAGTGACTATAGTCAAAAAAATTATAAAATGACTATAATTAAATTGTAATAGTTAGGGATGTCAAAAAAGTCAACAATTAATATTTGAATATTCTATAGGAGTATTCGAATATATTCGAATATTTAATAAAATAAATACATTTTGCAATAGAAAATATATATTTTCACTCTCCTGTCCAAGCAGTATACATTTTATGTCGTTTTTTTTTTGGAATAAAATTTTATGTAGAGTTTTGTAAATTCAAAGTAATTATTTTTTTTAAATATTACAGAATATAGGAAGAGTATACATCCAAAACATTGCAAAACGTAATGATTTTTTTTATTTTTTCGGAAAATTCAAAAGTCTCTTTAATATGTTCCAGATTAATTGATGATCATCTTACCAAAGTCTACACTTTCTACTCCTACAAATTTATACCACACTAAACAATCATCTACTGAAGAAAAATTAAAGTCAATCAATTTTAGCTGATTAATTTCCTGATAATTATTTTAATGATACATACCTAAGCAAGGGATCTAGGTGTTTTCTTTAAAAGTATGCCCTTACAACAATACAACCTTACAACAATACGAACTGATTGTAAGTACTTGGCACTGTCATACCACTAATTAAATGATCAAAGAATAATTAATTTTCATAGTTACACTCTTCACACTTTTTAAGTAATCCAACAGGGCTGTCTTTCATTTTTTTAAAAAAAATTAAATCTTATTCCTTGTCAACGGTACAACCTTGATTCAATTTCAGATAAAACTTGCCAGATTTTTCTATCTATTAAATGTCTGTATACTTAAAAACCGAATATTCGAATCATATATTTATATTCGAATATCAACTCATCGAATGAATATTCGAATATTCGTTGACATCCCTAGTAATAGTGTGACTATAGTCAATATAGTCATAGAATGACTATAGTCAAAATAGTAATAAAGTTACTATAGTAAAAATAATTATAGAGTGACTATAGTCAAAATAGTCATAGAGTGACTTTAGTCAAATTAGCTAGAATGATTGTAGTCAAAATAGTTGTAGAATGACTATAGTCTAAATAGTTCTTAGCTCCATTTTGACTACTGTAAACGAAATATCTAGGTGGTAGTTTGCTGGAATATTCAGTACTGGTTGGTTGATTATGTTGTTTAACATCCCTCTCAATAATTTTTTACTCATATTGAGATGCCTTCAGTATTGGTAGTTCTAACAGGTTAGTACATGTTCATACATGTACTATTTTAATATAGATAGAATGATAGTCTAAATAAGAACAGTGAACTGCAAAAGTGTTAAAAAGGATATTATATTCAGGAATGATTTATGGCATAATGAGTTAATTCCTCATTATCTATTCAGTCCAATTCTATAAGTTACTTATTCACAACATATATAAATATGGATACATTGATGGGTACATAAGAATACTGTTTAGTACTAAGAAAACTGTTTATAGAGTAGAAAAGTGAACACATTGATAGGTTCACCCTGTGACAGGTGTACATAACACCTAGACAAGTGAGTTAGTTATATATTACATGACGTATTAACCAATCAGGTGTACAGTTATATCTACCTGTGCACGGCTACAAGGTAGGGTAGGTCGTCGTTATGTCGTGACTGTGTAACTATAGGGTAACCCGTGACACGGCCCCGTATAATAGTAAAGTGTATGAGTCAAGGTACTAGGATTGCCAAATGAAGAATAAGGCTTAGCATTCCACACTGAAGTTACCATGGTTATATAATTAGCATTTTCCCCCCAATGCTGCCTTGAAACATTGACGATGACATAAAGTATGTTTATACAACCAGCACGTAAACTAAGTAATTGTACTTGCATAACAACTTCAAAACCTGAAAACATAAATTAACTCTTTCATTTCTAAATACTGTATTCCTGCTCATGAATTTATTTCAATCCTCTCTTTATTTTCTGCTTTTCTTTCATCATGTTCATTCACTTCATTTTGTAGTTTTACTCTTTGCAAAAATCTGTTGTTCATGGAAATTTGTTAAGTAGCAAGTACTGAGAAAAATTTGAAGTTTTTATGAATTGAGAACCCTCCACAAGGCTCTTTATTCTTCTCTAATGGTTTCCTGCTGTTGTGTAGTGTAGATATGAGTATCTGAAGTTAACCACAAAGAGCTATACAAGATTAAAGCATCAGGAACAAAGAAATACAGAAGTTTGGTCTTTAATTGCACAAACTTAAACACAGGAGATATAGAAGTATCTAAAATTTTTATATATTAAGGATATTTGCTACAAATTAAATATTTGATGCTTGGAATAGAATCTGTTTTAGGATTCATTATAGTGTTAAGATGCATAAATCAAATCTCTGATGAATTAAATTAAGAAATTGCAAACTTTCTTTGATGATCAAGTTCCTTCCTTTTGCTAACATTCTAATAAATCTTGTCTGTCTATTGTTTATTATAATTTCATGATGACATGAAGTTCTTGAGAAACCGTCATTGAGAAATTAAACAAAACTGTGTTTATGTGGCTAAACTTGTACTGGAAAAGAGACTATCTATCTTTCTATGTAATTGGTTTTTTTTTAAATAATAGAGCAAATTCAAATTAAAAAAAATGTGTGAAATAAATAAATAAATATTAGTTACATACATCAAAAACACACATTGCACCACATCCATTTGTAACATTTCATAAAATAGAGACAATAAAATCCTCAACTGTTGTAGTAAAAATTGGCAAATATTTCATGAAACAGAGACAATAAAATCCTCAATTGTTGTAGTAAAAATTGGCAAACATGTCATTAAACAGAGACAATTAAATCCTCAATTGTTGTAGTAAAAATTGGCAAACATATCATTAAACAGAGACAATTAAATCCTCAATTGTTGTAGTAAAAATTGGCAAACATATCATTAAACAGAGACAGTAAGATCCTCTTAAGAATATGATCAGTCTGATCACAGGGTCCATGTTTCCTGTAATTGTAAGAATAAAATGGCTGACAGTTGTCATGGGTTACACACTGACCTGACAGAGCACAGAACACCCAAGGTCGCACAATGGCCTCCATTGTAAAATTGTTCTGCTTGATTGAAATAAGGTCAGAGTGAATGTTTGGCACTAAATTCAGGCACGCCTGATTGCTTCTATAAGACAATTTGTCCTGAATAAGGGCCACTTGAGATTCAGGTAGAAATTCTTCTGTCCGGTAAGTTTTTATGTTTTCAGTCCCATCTTCCTTCAGTAAAATGTCAAATGATTGGTCTTGCTGATTGGTCAGAGTTTTGAGAATCTGTGATTCGGACCATTTTCTTGGAGGATCCTTTTTGAGCACAATCTGAATTTCCTCTGTTTCGGTTTTCTCTAGGATTTTCTGTAGGGTTTTGTTGTCGAGGTCTGACGCGGGGTCTAACCACACAACTGAGTTAAACCTCTGGAGGGAGAGGTAGACCAGGAGGGGGGTCCAGTAGTGGGCACGGATCTCCGGCAGGTTCTCCACGATCTCACACTGACTACAGTTCAACAGCTTGTACTTCTGTTGAAATGTCAGCCCCATGTCGTACACCAGGAGCTTCACGTTGGGGAATTTCTGTATCAGGACCTGTTCTCTGTTCTGTATGAATCGCCGGACAGTTTGGTAATTATAGACAGAGGTTTCTAAGATTATCACGGGGTAGCTGCTGCTATCGTCATACATTTCAGACACACCAGCTGGCCTGGATACCTGAATCTTCCCCAGTATCTTATGTAAGGATTTGTCAGAGGAAATATTGTTAAAGGTTTTTATAATGTGTATGAAGTTTTCCTTGGAGAAATGTGGGCAAGGTTTGGGTTCTGGTTCTTTCTCAGTACCGGTCAGCATCTCGAAGTGGGCAGCCCATGATTCCTGTGGGCCGATCTCCCAGCGAGCCTCGAGGTGGAAGGTAATTTTGTGGCCCAGGAGAGGGTGTATGTACATGAAGTAGATCCAGAGTCCCCCGATAATGGAAGAGATGAAGCTCCCAATGGCTATGTAGATTTTGTACTTGACTACCGTCTGCTTCAGTTTCTTCTTCATGGAGACCGGCTGAGTCTCCTCCTCCTTGTCTTGCTGGCAGTAGATGATGACCCGCCATATTATAATCCCCGTGATGACGGCCAGGATTAACATCACAACAGCAGAGGCCTGGTCACTCAGTAATCAGGATCAGTGGGGGGTACTTTTTTATTGAAGCCGTTGAGTTAGTTGATGAGTGTTGTCCAGCCTCTCTCTGAATCTCTCTCCATCTTCACCTTAATTTGTCTGTTTTCTTTGCTGATACCAGCTGATCAGACTCTGTAAATGAGCAACTTATAATAAATACTGAATAATAGGAAACATAGATACTGACCTATAAATATGTCATTTTGTGTTAGATTTTCCTCATACTTTCTTATCAGTAATGTGTAATTTTGAAAGTTTTATCTGGAGTCTACAAGTCCATAAAAGTCTATATATTTGAAATATTCTAGATATTACCAAATCTACTGTTTGGGGGCAATATTAGGCAATCAAATTCTTAACATTTGTAATATTTTAGCCATTATAATTAATATTTATCTACAAGTAATAATGACACTTTTATCAATGATTTTTCTTATGACAATAGCCTAGCACATTATATTATAAACATTTTTATTATTAATACTGCAATATAGATTTCAAGTATTTCTTGGGGTATAAATTACAGTTATATGAGTAAAATATTAACATTTTTCTAATTGTATATTTGGAAGTATTTGATATTCTTAAATGTTTTGAATATAAACAGAAGAAAAATTGCTATTTTACCTAGCTGTGGAGTAGCTCTTCCTTGTTAACTCTTGTATATATTAGTGGTAGAAGTATCTTGTCGTTATTAACGTGACAATCCCAACAGGCACTGCTTCAGGCCAAATCTTGTTCTGAACGATCCAGTTCCTACCACAGGGTGCATCTGATTTACAGATTACAAGTTACTTAACTTAAAAAACTACAACATAAATATCAGTATTAATAAGAAAATTATGAACTAAATATTGATCTATATAAATATAGCCCGAAAAGAGCTTTTTTAAATGTGTGTGTTATGTTGAAAAAATTAAAAAATTTCATTATGTGCATAGTTGACATTATCAGATATGTATTGATCAAAATCTTTATTTCTTATGTATTTAAAATGTAAGGAATTTTAAAAAGAAACAACTTTTAAGTTTGCTTATATTCAGTCATAATTATTGGAAATTCAGTGCATTATAAAACAAGCCTTAATTCACATTAATTGTATACTAATTAAGTAGATGTAAGACAAATGATCATAATTTTTAAACTCCCCAAACATGCCAAAGTAATATGTTAAATTTGTTGTTTCACACCATTTTCATATGACTTTTTATTATGCAGAAAAACCATATACCTGTATTATCCTATTAATCATAATTTCAATTTTATCCATGGCAGTCAAAATTATGCCCCAAAATAATTTGCTCATTTTCAGCCGAAGATGTTCTTTTTATTTCACTTAAAAAGGAAGGAAAAGGAATCCATGTTCAATTTGTTTTAAAATAAAATTACAGTGTATCAACAAAAAATTTTATTTTTTTCTGTTTAAAGGGTTATTTTTGTATTAAGTGCTTATAAATATGTTTTGCTTTGTAATGTTTTCAGAAAATATATAATCTATTAATTTTACTTGGATATCTGTTTATGGATTTTTTTTTAACCTTCAATTTGCAGCAAACTAAGAGACTTTCCTTTCTCTTTCCAGCTAAATGTGACAAAAATTTCCAGATGACTATCCCATCATGCTGCAGTGATCTATGTTCCTGTCCGGACCACACGTTGACAGGAAGTGTACGTGACGCCACCGCAGGAAACGCCCCGATGGCTAACGTCTCCGTGTATCTCCGTAGCTGCCCCTGCGAACCCCTGACGATGACGGCTGATGACGGAAGCTTCCAAATCAAAGGTGTTTGCCTGAAGGAAGGGGGCGTGGCTAGATTTGAATATCCTGGATACGCGTCCTTCCTCAGGGATATTACTGACCCCCAAAACAACAACAATTTCATCGCTAACGGTGATATGGCTCCCTTGGTGGAAACTACGTCAGTATCTGGAATGACATCACAAGGGGGAAGTTAGAGGTTCTAGGACATTTCTAGTAGCTAATTAACGTAAATTTAATTACTTTGATACTATACCATACTGGTTCAGTCAGAGTTATAAGGGTTTGGGTTCTCTAACTTTTGTTACTGTTGTATACTTTTTGTACTTTTTTATGCCTTTTTTACAACATTGTAATTTTGTTTGCTTTTAAAATTTGAAATGTGTAGACATTCATGGTTGAATTTTGTATTGCGAAAACTACATTTTAGGAATGTTAGAATTGATCAATTTTTGATACTGTAAACCAGATTTTATTCCTGACCAATTAATACAAATGTTTTTTTTTTCACAGCTCTTATTAAGGGAAGGGTGGCAATTAATCTGTAACACAAATGTGTAATGATTAAAGAAAGTTGAAAGAGGATATATCTTTAAAGAAAAAATGCAACTTGTTAGGATCAATAGACTTATATTATTTACTTTATAGACTGTTAATATAAATTACTGTTCAATAAAAAAAAAATATTAAATTTATCCAAAATAAGGGACAAAGATAAGTAATAACAGCTGTATATGTGGTGATTTGGTCACGGTACTGACTGAACAGATGAGTACACAGCCACGGGCTATAAAGGGTAGGTTCAATATTAACAGGTGTTGGAGACAATAATTACAGTATAAACACGGATAGAACAAATTGCATTTTTTTGGAGAAGTTTTTAATAAATATATGCACTTATATGAAAAATATATATACATCAGAGTAACTGAGTACAATTTTAGTTTTCTATGCTGGGCTCGAATGTAGATTTGGTACCATGTTAAACGGGTACATGTTCTCCTTGACATCCCTAATACGTATAGTTTACTATAATTATAGAATTAAAAAACAGTTATTTTCAATTAAATTTACTGCAGAGTCACATTTTTTTGTGTGGTCAAATTTTCGTGGTTTGAGGAATTAATATTCTTGATTTGTGGGGATTGGATTTCGCTGATGAAGAATTGTTAAGTATAGATATGCATGTTACATTTTACATTTTGTGAAGAACATGAATTTTATAGGTCTATCCATACCTCGAAAACAGTGAAAATTAAACCCCCACAAAAAATTATGATTTAACAGTATTTAAAAAATTATAATGATTTTGCATTGTACTTGTTATAAGCTAAACTTGTAAATGCAAATTTTGTCCATTTTTCTTTCTGTACTTTTTTTGCTGTAGCTCTTTTGTACTTAAGTCAGAGGCTCTTCAAAACATCTGTTATCAGGAATTAAATTTTTTTTTCATCTGTAAACCAAAAAAAAATATTAATCAATAATGTACATTTAGATATGTGTATATATGATATTTTATCTATGATAAGCATTTTGTTGTTTATATGCTCTGCAATTGCATGTTTTCACAATTGTAATTCAGTCACACTTCAATAGCATTACCATTTCTTTTTTACACAAGTCATACTAGTATTTGGTCACAGATATTTATATAACTCTGTGATGTATATATTCTATCTTTACTTGTAATGAGTAAACTTTCATGTTTTGATACTGTTTATAAATGTAGGGTTACCTTGCTTTGTTTTATACTGACCCCTTTTAGAGATAATGTGGAAAAAAATTCACCTTTTGAAATAAAGGAAGAAAACTTTAACTTTGTTTCTTAGTCTTTAGGCCTGTCCATTCTTTTTCTAGTTTCAGCTTCCACAGATAGGTTACTTTTTAAGGTTTAAATGAAATCAATAACAGACACAAATTAAAATCAACAAATACAAATCTTTAAACACAGTTTACTTTTATTAGATTGACTGTTCTCTCTTGTTGAGTAATGTACAATTTAATTTTAATTAGATTGAGTAATGTATCAAATCTTTTTGATTTAATAAACTAGATGTTAAATAAAATGTGAGGAAAATTCTCCAGAGGAAGAATTGTGGTCCCAACCTTCTGGGTCTTTGTGGATGAGATGTCATTATTTATGGCACTTTGTGTCAAATATGAATGCCCTATCATATCCAATTCAGAATTTATCAACAAAGTTGATTTTTTTTTAATTAGGTCAAATGTGAAGGTCAGGTGGTCAGAAATCATAGAATACTTGGAAATATCTTGTCATGGGTGATGCATATGTCAAATATGAAAGCCACATCTCTTCACAATGAAAAATCAAGGAAAAAAATCATTTCTGAAAAGAAGGTCAAATGTCAACGTCACAAGATAAAAAAATCATAGTGCATTAGAAAGGTAATGTCACAAACAATACATAGATATGAAGGCTCTATCTCTTCTCATTCAAAAATCATGATCAAGGTTAAAGTTTTTGAAAAATAGGTCAAGCTTCAAGGTCTCAAGGTCAAAATTTGTTTGCGTGGGGTATAAAAAAAACTTCTACCCAGATAGCATGATGCTGTTGGACCTTTGTTGTGCCAACAATGCTCCTTATGTTGGGCCACCGTTTGCATTCAACATTGGGCCATCGGTAATTTGCTCATCGGCCCTTAATCAATCCAACTTGTGGGCTTATTGTTGGGCCAATGTAACAGTTAATATTGGGCCACTGTTGGGCCAATTTATTCTTTCAATATTGGGCAAACGTCATTTTTGTACAGTTGGGCCATTGTAAGCAATTAATGTTGGGCCAACGGTAATTTGCTCATCGGCCCTTAATCAGACCAACTTGTTGGCTTATTGTTGGACCAACGAACGGATATCATTCAGCCATTGATGGGCCACTTATTTTTTCAATATGAGGCAAACACAATTTTTGGACCAACGTTGGTTTGTATCTTATTGGCTCTCCATCAGAACAACTCATTTGCTCTTCACTTGCTGACCATTTGTCCTCAAAATGTAATAACAAACTATATAAGGTTATCGTAGTTTTGTAGTACAGTTTATTGGTAAAAGCCCTTTATTTATTGGTAAAAGCCCTTTATATATGCTAGATTAATAGTTTAATACATATTCACAATATCTCAAAGAATTACCATCAACAAGTATTACATTGTAAGTAGCTCTACATTAATTAAAAAACTGAGCAAAAAGAAATCATATTATTAAATAAAATTATAACATACTAATATTTTATTGCTCAAAGCATGAAGAAAACATAAAGAACAAAAAGTTGATGCTCACTTGAAGCGATACATGTAGGGTTAAATGATTGTATACTCCCTTTCTGATGTAAATTTATGCACAAGTTCAGTAAATTGCAGATATCAATAAGCACGTGTAAAAAATAAACAAAGACCTCCTTTTCTTAAAATAATACTAAAATGAATCTCGCAATTTTGTTTACTTACACAAAAAAATGTATCTGACATCTGCATCATGTTTGTTACCGACAAACAGACACAGAAAAGGAGAGAAATACAGGTATGTCACAGCCCAAACAGGAAAAAGTTAGACACTGCCGCGTTCAATCTGATCCCTCTCCTAAGTATCCTCTTCTCTCTCCAGAGTCTCCTCCCCCTTCTTTTCTTCTTTGTCCGTTTCTTCCTCCCCATCCCTGTCCTTTGCATACTTTAGCCATTCTTTGATTGTGTTCTCAATGTCTTTTTAGAATCTCCAGTACCACTAAAATTGTAGTATTTGGTACTTTATACATTTGTTACTTACTTTTCTCAGTAAAGAGTAAACATACGATTAAATTTATAAGTACAGTCCAGTCCAATACGAAAAATCGTAATATTACAGAATATCGTAATATTATTCTTATATTACTATTTTTCGTAATATAGTTAAATTACGAAAACTCGTAATATAGCATGTTGTGAGAGACTATATTACGAATTTTCGTAATGTAAGACAAATTAAGCATTGAAAAAAACTGAATGATGTTTAGGAAAGTATGACGTCAGAAATACATTATGCCCCAATGGTACTAGTGTCACGTGGTCATTTTGGTCAGTGACGTCTATCGAAAAGTATGAAAATGCAAGAAGAAAGTAACAATAGTAATGGGTGAGTGAAAATTTTGTATTATTATTCTTATATAAGAATTTTCCCAGGGATGGGAACAATTTTCCATAAAACTTCAATGTATCCTAAATCTTGTCATAGTGTTCTATAATCCCCGAATTCCCTATATTTTTCCCGAAGTCTACCCTAAAAATCAGACCCTCATCTCCAACAACGAGATGTTACGGGATATAACTTGTACAACTTTCACTAGGCTCTGACTCTGCATGCACTTGGATCAAATGCATCAAAACAAAGAAAAAGCATGCATATCCACGATGATTTGATGAAACCAGAGACGTGTAATCTCTCATGAAACATAACAAGCAGGTTGTATCAGAAAAAAGGGAAGTAACTCTTAGAAGAGTTAGAAATTGCTTATATTACGAATTTTAGTAATATTACGATTTTTCGTATTGGACTGGACTGAAGTATATCACTATATTTTTAAGCTGTCAATTGAAGAATAACCGTCTTTTTTGTTTGATGGTGTGATTAAGCGATTAGCTTGCGTGATGAAGGCATTTATGCATAAAATTTCTACGCTTCATCACCATTACACCGATTTTAATTTAATGTTGCGCCATATAACTCATTATTCAAAGTTAAATACATGTATAGAAAATTTGTTAGTACACTGAACACATTTTAACTGAAAGAACCCCATCTATCCTTTAGTACTGAATAAATTTTGTTTTAACTTTAACATGTTCAACATTTTCAACATGTTTGGTCATATGTGCTCGACTTTAAGTGTATACAAGTAAAATGAGTGGTAAAAATTTATTCTACTAGACACAAATTTCAATCTAAATAAGGGGCAAATAATTTATTGTTTTAACTGTATCAAAACACATTTGTTATTTTATACTTTCATCTATTTTTCTTGTATAGAAAGTTAGAAACAATAAATTTAATCACAGATAATCTATTTTGTTTTGATGAATATTAAGAATTTTAACAAGCCTTGTAAATTTATTTTAGCTAACTTGTATTTTCAAGAAGGATTGGTGGTAGATTTATTTCTGATTTTAGAGACTACCGAATTTGTTAATATACAGATTTGTAACAATTAAATATTATTCACATTGGTCCAATGTTGGTCCAATATATCAGGCCAACATTGGGCCAATGAGCAAAATGACACTGGGTCAACGTCATTTGCCAACATCGGCCCAATGTTATTGTTGACGTTGGGCCAAAATTGGCCCAGTGTCGCATTCATTTAATTGGACAATGTTGTCGCAACGTTGGGCCAACATCTGTAGAAATAACATTCTACATTGGGCAAACGTCGGCACAACATATCGGGCCAACATTGGGCCGATAAGCAAACTTACATTGGGCCAATGTCATTTGCCAACATTGGCCCGATGTAACCGGTAACATTGGCCCAACGTTGGCCCAATGTTAGCATGCTATCTGGGACAGTGTTGTCTCGACAGCACCTGGCCTCTGCACTTATTTACACAGATTTGTACAAGATATCGTTTAAACTATAAACATTAATTAAGCTGTGTCGAAGCAAATATATTATAAATACTTACAAAGTGGATGCAGATATGCAAGGCATCAGTCTCATTCCGCTCGTGTTAGATTAAAAATGGCGCGGATATTACAAGTAACCCGGATGGTGTCTACCCATGATACTCAATCAGATTCATGGTATATTGGGCCAACTTGGGGCCGATGCCAATCCCCCAACAAATATTTTCTCTCATGTAATACCGGGTAGTTTTATGATATAACACAGATAGCCCAACATTGGCCCCATTATACATAATCAACTACATATATCAATATTCCATTTTGGACCTTTGTTGGTCCATTAAATGTAACCAAACAGCGATAATACAAACATAATGTAAGATTGGACCAACGATGTTCTGCTATCTGGGATTCACATCCTGTTCCTGAGAACTTTTAACTAACAATTATTCAGTCTTCTCTAAATTCTTATGAATACAACGCTCATAAAAAAATCATAATTTTAAGCGTTTTATTAAAAATAAATAACCATGCACACAATTCAAAAAATAGAATAAAACACTTTTTGGTGCTGTGATCACTTAAGTTCAAAGTCAAAATGTTGAAAATATCATATTTAAACGAAAGCAGTCATCCAATGAAAAGCATGGACATAGAATATCCTCTTAATTATTTCAGAATATGCATCTAATTTAATATTTGGAACCAACGCTGTCCCAACGTAAAGCTCAGCAGCTAATTATAAAATTGACACCATCATTTAGTGGGCAGTATAATAATTGGACCAACGTTGGCCCATTATAAATATCCCATCTTTAAAACACCTGAACAAAATAACACTCTTGCTAATATCGGGCCAACGTTGGGCCAACATTCTCTTACGAACTTCATAAGACATTTCTTTAAAGGTGTATTACAAACATTGGACCAACGTTCGGCCAACATACTACTACCAACTTGATTTGACAAATTCTCTACGGGTGTATTACAAACACTGGGCCAATGTTGGGCCAACATACCACTACCAACTTGATTTGACACATTCTTTACGGGTGTATTACAAACATTGGGCCAACATACCACTACCAACTTGATTTGACACATTCTTTACGGGTGTATTACAAACATTGGGCCAACGTTGGGCCAACATACTACTACCAACTTGATTTGACACATTCTTTACGGGTGTACTACAAACATCGGGCCAACGTTGGTCCAATATACAACTACCAATTTGAAAAGACACTTTCTTTCAGGTTGTATTATATATATTGGGCCAAAGTTGGGCCAACATCAGCACCCGTCCTTCCTTGGAAAGTAAAGTGAATGGAAATTGCTTATGTTGGAAACGTTGGGCCAATAAAGGAATTATGTCATGGTCGAGAAGGTTGACATGGTAACATGGGTCTAACGTTGGCCCAACGTGGTTCCCCCAACGCCAACCTTACAACCTTTTACCTGTGTTGGCCCAACATAGTCATGCTATCTGGGTATACAGTTTTTGTGGTCAAATTTCAATAATATTTGAAACATCGTAAGACTTTAGATTAAAAACATGAATGATGGAACGGGCTTCTGTACGTTATAACACACTTTGAAAAAAAATTTCAAAGTTTTATTTGGGACTATAAGTCAACGCACTTTGAAAAAATAAATTTTCTTTTCAAAGTGCGTTAATATCGATGTTACAACGCACTTTGAAAAATTACGCACTTTGAAAAAAATTTTCAAAGTGCGTTAAATTTGGGACCAAGCTAACGCACTTTGAAAAAAAATATTTTTTTTTCAAAGTGCGTTAATATCGACCATATTAACGCACTTTGAAAAAAATGTAAAGATTGATCAATATTCCTACAAATAATCTGTATGATAAAATAAAAGGGAAAAGGGTCTTGGAAAAAAAAAGAGTGACGATTGTTTAAGATCATAAATTCGTTTCTTTTTTTATTAATTCGGGTCTTTGATAAGTAGATGTAAAGGGGAAACTAACAGTGGGCAGTTTTAAACAACTTAGCATTTATCATAATTAAAAGGGGGCAATTTGATTGTTCAAAAACTATGAAATTTTTTTTCACTCTCATACGTTTACTGTACTTAAAAATTTTTAGTTTTCATCTGTTTAATTAAACTAACTCATTTAATATTGAAAGTTTTCAACGTCATACCAGTTAGGAAAATACATAACTATATGAAGGTTTTGAGTATAGTATAGATATCCTTACCGGGCGAAGGGCCCGGGGAGAAGGGGAGCGGGGGGGGGGGGGGGGGGCTAAGCTAAGATATATACTATGTAAACTAAAATAAAAAAAATTATTGAAGTTTTCAACGTCAAACCAGTTATGTAAGTAAATATATTATTTACATACATGTATACACCCAACTTTTTTGCAAAGATGTACATAATATAGGCATTGAAAATTGAAGCTTACCTAGGTTTTTGGGGGAAGGTAACATTCTATATTTACTCTTTTTCTCCTTGTTCTCAATGAGGGTAAATCAATCTATGTATTTTAAAATGGTTTTTGAAAGATACAATTATAACAAATTAATTCTCTCGATTATTAAAATCAAAGTCCAGAATCTTTGTTTTATACAACTTTTTTTTTCAAAATGCGTTTTAAAAGTGTTCCTATGATTAAAAAAAATATTATGTACTTGCACCCTTGCAACACTTACCGAGCTTTCAGAAAAAAGTCTTTATATAAGTTTTATGAATAAATTCTAGAATGCAAAAAAATGTCTCTATAATATGCAATATATGCAATATATATGTCAATAAAGATATACTGCTATAATTTTAATGAACCAAAAAAAAAAAAAAAAAAAAAATCCGGAAAAATATTTGGTGTGCGAATGAGTTCATCAATTAGTAACGTAATTGAAGTTCCTGCTATGCAGTGCAATGTGGAAGGAAACATTTACTCTAATTTTAATCGATTTTAGCATCTTCTAGATGTACATATCTTTTGTAATCGATATTTTTCAAGTTAATTATATCATTTGTAAGTAAACAAACCAATAAAATTAAATGACAATCCTTGAAATGGACGGAGTGGAGCCCGGGATCATGGATTACGTTCACCTACAAGGTGTCCAGATAATTCATCAAATCCAACACACATTCCGGGTAAGTCTTACAGGAAAGCATTTATACTGTACAAATATGTCCCTAAAATTAATGAGATGTTGATAAATCTATTAACTCATCAATCAAAATACTATATTCTATAAGTTTGTTAGAAATAAGAAGGGGGCTCTTTTACATGTAGATGTTGTACGAAACGAGTGCCTATGCTGTATATTTTAAATGAAACAATTTCTTTTTTTTATTTTGCACACCTGAAGCACCATGTGGACCTGATGCAGATGTTGACTCGAGTAGGAGATCCCAGATACGCATTTCTGATCTACTTCCCCCTGGCTTACTGTTTCCACAGATCGAGTGGAACCAGAGTGCTGTGGATTGCCTGTTTATCTGAATGGCTGAATGGAATATTAAAATGGCATGTTGTATAGGGAACATTAAATTCCATTATATTGATCTCAGAATAAAGATTTACAATGTATGTAGAGGTGCCATGATTATATGAGTGATGTACATTGTACAAACAATCCTGATATCCTCGAGGCCTATGACAAAAAATATTTGTTTGATGTACAGTAACTACATCTGAACCATCAAAACCACCTCTACTAATTCATTTTTTTAAAATTTCATTATCAGATTGTCTATGACATTTTAAACATAGTTAAGATTTCTCATTCCTCAAAGTTGCCTTTTAGAATACAGTGACTTTTTGCAGCAGTAGATAATGAAGTATGAAGTCTCTCTACTCTAGGTATCCTATGTAAGAATTATAATGAAACATTCATAGAAATTTATAATTCCTGGATTATGTTGACAATTATTTTAAAAATTGAATGTGTTAGATACATGTACGTCTTGAAAACTGTCTTTACCTACCCTCTCTAAAATATTGATTGGAGTACATCATAGAATAAAAATTTTAATGATGGCCCAAGAAAATATTTTTGTGTCAACTGTGTTTACATTCAGGATTTTACATGGAGAGCGACCGTATTGGTGGGTTAAGGAAGTCAAACTTCATGATCATGTTCTGAGCATTCCTTCCCTGGAACAGTACAGCCTTACTTGTGAAACTGGACCAGGTAGTCAGTTATTTCATACATGTTAACTCTCCCGATTTAGGCGGGAGTCTACCGCTTTTTCACTCCATCTCCCGCCTACCGATTTAATTCAGAAATCTACCGCTTTTCTACAAAAGCTGCGTCTAAAGTATTTTTGGTTCGCTTGGGTATCCATTTTTGAAGCCACTCTCATAAAATCTCGCTAGATATCGCGTGATTTGACTCGGAATCATACAAACGCTTTTTTTGTACATAGATTTCAAGCACGGATTTGACAACGACAACAACACAAGACTACCAGTGATTACATTGGTTACGATAAATTAATCAACATCCCTGCCATGAAAAAGGAGATACAGCTTTTAAGAATTAGATGAAAACATTTGACATCGTCTTTAAAAGCACAGAAGCTCACAACTTTATCAATAAAGTCAATAGAAATCACTCGATTGACCAAGCCATGTGGCACATCTCTACTTTCGTTTTCGATCATCGCGGGAAATCTGACTTATATAACGAAAGATAGGACCTTGTTTTAGATCTAGATTAAACCATGTCATCATTTGTTTTGTTTAAAAACTGAATGAACATTCAGAATTATTGCTTCTAGGCTATATCAGCAAAGATCACTCTTCAAAAGGCTAAGTAAAGCAGCCAATCCAAGCAAAATGATGAGCATGAAAAATATTTGAATTTGTACAATTTATGTCAAACTTAAGGTGTTTCTGTCTTCTTCTTTGCTGTTGATATATAAGATTAATTAGTGTAGGTACCTGATTTTATTTAAGGCTTATAATATACATGTATATTACATGAAAGATATCGATAATCCAAGCATTAAACAACACGCGCACAATGCTACCGCTTTTGAGGTCTGAATTTCCCTATTTTTCATCACAATAGGTTAACATGTATGGTTATTTTATATCACGAAGGGAGAGCTCACAAGTCCTAACAACTAACATTATGTTTATTTAAACAATAAAATGCTTTCTTTGTTTGTTGTTACTGGAATGAACGGAAGCAGCTGTTGCAGAAAAAATACATAACCCGCGTAAGCGGGTTATGTAAATTTTTCTGCAATAGCTGCGACCGTTCATTCCAGTAACAACAAACAAAGAAAGACATTTTATTGTTTATATTTATATCTGTTTAAATTATCATTTTAAGAAGGATTAAAAATATTAATTATTGTGTTAATGATGCGAACGTCTTTGTACGTTTAGTTGATGGAACGGCCACTGATCAAGAAATCTGTACAGTTGATATGCCTAATGTAGTTTATGCAGGGATGAACGCAATGGGTTTTCTTAAGAAATAAAGAAGAACATATTCAGTGGATGTAAATATTATCTGGTACATACAATGTGTACTGTATTTGACTAACATGTCTTATATTTTACTGTAGGGAGTCCATCAGGGCATGCTATGGTCACATCTGCTGTGCTGTACTCCATAGGGACATCTTTTATCAAACATGGACTTAAGCAGACAAGGTACTGCAAAAAAAATGCTAGATTTATTGGACTATATGTATTTTTTAGTTGGCTTATTATTCACATTTTATTGTGTTGTTTCAGACCATTAGAGCGAGCACTGGTCTGGATCTCCTTTGTTGTGGTTCTTGTAGCTGTCAACGTATCCAGGCTATTTATAGCCACACACTTTCCACATCAGGTGGTGGCGGGATCATTGACAGGTGAGTGATAATGTCACGATATATAAATGATTTTAAAGACAGTGCCACCATTGACTATCTGTTTATAAATATTGTCATACAATTGTTTTCTTTGATTCATACAGTGCAGATTTGCTCTATGATTAAATCATTGTGTTGTTGTCTGTAACAATTTTAGGATTGTATTAACTTGACTGTTTTTTTTTCTGGCAGGTATATTACTAGCAGAGGTTGTTAAACACGAACATACCTCTAACCTCACCATTAAGCACTACGTATTCTGGGGTCTATTTTTAACCACAGGTGTGTTCCTCACCTATTATGCCATCTCTGTTCTTGGTCTGGACCCTCTGTGGAGCCTCACTTACGCCAAAAAATGGTGTGCTAACTCAGACTGGGTCCATCCAGATACCACTCCATTCTTTGCCTTTGTACGAGATGTGTCCTCTCTAATGGGTATGAAAGTACTTTATGAAATGTTAAATTTGTACTTTATTATGTAAATTTTCCTTGAAACTGTATACACTTATCGATAAGCTAGATTTCAAATTTCAGATCAAAACTCTTGATTGACGTCCAGAATTGACATTGCATTGTGTACAATAATACCTTTTTTAAAATTAAACGATAGCTATATTTAATGAAAATTATTTTGTATTCAATATAATTTCAAATTCTGTTTGTAGGTTTTGGAGTAGGCATTTTACTACAAAACAGGAAAAAGATGGCAGTAGAGGTAGGAATGGGACAAAAACTTATTCATGTCATACTGTCTCTAATATGGACATTATCCATTGAGAACTTAAAGTTCTCAACATCGACTTTACTTTTCTACGCAGTTGGATTTTTTAAATTCAGTATAATGATGATTGGAGTGGTGTATGTTATACCATGGATTGTTTTTAAAAATAAAATCAAGGAAAAGTATTAGTGCTTTATAAAGAAATGATATAGGGTTTCAGTGTTGTATTTTGTTTTTTAAAAAATTGTCTTCCTCGATTTTAATTAGGGATGGCAATTCTTAACCGGTTAATCGATTAATCGGTCGTAACGATGCTAATCGGTTAGAAAATCTGTAATCGGTTAGTCGGAAAAAATTTAAACACGTGTAAATTTTAACATATTTTCTTAAAATTCACTTTTTAGAAATGAAACCACTGCTTAAAGTTCATTTAGCGTTCTTACACATTTTGTTTTTAAATAATTTGGAGGTATTTATAGCTCTTCTGATTGAGATCACAGGGTAATTGGTAAGTTTTTACAGTGTAAATTGCTGTTTTTAAAACATCTTGTTGTTACCCCGACTGCCCGGATTTTTTAATGATAGTAAAAACATCATCATTTAGAACTTTAAATAAGTATGTCTATATTTTGCCGTTATCTATTAAATTGTTATATTAGGAAAGAACAGTGTAAATAAAGTAAGAGTTCAGACATAGTTTTGATTATGGTGACGATGCAGAATTAACTTCTTTTACGTCTGCATTGGAAAATTATCCGTGTCTGATTCTAAGGCAAGATTCATGGGTTTCCTCATTTTTTTCTAATCTCGTATATTGAAATTCAAATGAAATATACTCTTCAGCACATGAAATAGAGTGTGACTAAAATGGGTAGCGAAACCCAGGCCGGGCCGGGAATTTCAAAACTGAGAGCCGGGTTTTTGATAATTACGAGATAAATACTCATTCTTTCTTCACGAAATTTACAGACATAGTTTATAAGTATAGGTTTTGCCTTCGCTGAGAATTTTAAGTCAAAATGTTTTGATTTTCGATGATTATCGCCGATTGTCCTTTTCCAGGTGACTAAAATGGGTAGCGAGCCCGGTTTACTCATTTTGGTGATTTTAAGCTTAATGCATCGAAAGTGTTTGTGATATTTGCATTTAATGGTTGTTTATTAACTTCAAATAGTTAAATTGTTCAATAATTATGAAATTAAATGTCAATTATTAGGGTTTTTGTCATTTTTCATAGACCCGGGACAGGTCAAAACCAGACGCGTTTGCCCGCATTGCAAAAATCTGACTGATAAGAACTCTAAATTATTTATAGCCTCAGGTTACATTTGTTACCCTCATTCTCATGGTATTAATATTATGTGGGGTCAATGATCAAACTATTGAGATTGTTGACTGCATTGGTTTTTTTTACATGTTTTGAATTTCTTTATTAGGGCCCCGCAAGGATTTGCGGGTGCCCTATAGTAATCACTCTGTCTGTCCGTCCGTCTGTCTGTCTGTCTGTCTGTCTGTCCGTCTGTCACTCTTCCGTCCACAAATTTTCTGTTTTTTTCTAATAACTTTTTTTATGGTTGCCCAATCATGTTTAAATTTGGTATGGTAGTTTAATAGGCAGAAATACATATTTTGATGCTAAGTTTGATTCTCTATGTCTTCTAGTTTGGAGCTGGGTGGTGGGGTAGATTCCTTAACTATGCATAAGAATGAACGGGCAACTTTTTTTTATGGTTGCCCAATTAAGATCAAATTTGGTACGGTAGTTCAGTAGGCAAAAATACATATTTTGATGCTAAGTTTGGTTCTCTATGTCCCTTGGTTTGGAGCTTGGTGGGGTAGATTCCTTAACTTTATATAAGAATGCATTGGCAAAGAGAGATAACTGCTGAAGATGTTCCCATTCAGTAAACTGAATGCTACTAGGAGTCCCATGGGATTAATTAGCTTTCCTCCTGAAGAAAATCCAGAGCATTATCTTTATCTGTCACATTGAGATTAATTACCACCTCTGTCTGTGAAGTTTTTTTGAAGTTAAATCAATTTGGAATGCTATGAACACTCTGAAATGTGGATTTAAATATAAATTTTTATTATTTATTTTTGTTTGATAGTTATGATTTCATTGAATCCTAAAAAAAGAAATAGATTAGGCCAAAATAAAATTATAGTTTGTTTGGAATTGCCTCCCGCCTCATTGAAATGCCCCCCTCCTGAAAAAATTTTATTGACCAAAAGTAGGAAGATTTTTTTTTTAATTTAATCAATTTTTTTTTGCCCATTACATGTATCACACGCACCATACAAAACACTGAAAGATAGTGCCACATCTATGTAAAATTAGGTATTTTTGTTCTGAGATTTTTATTAAAAAATTTATAATTTATCTTCAATTAAAAAAAAATAATTTCCCTCCCTCCCTCCTGTGTCTGAAACCCTCCAGGCGGCAATTCCAAACAAACAATTTTTTAAGGATGGCCTTAAAGAGGATTTTTTGATTTACCTGGGTACTTTTTTTCACCTTTTTCCTTTTTTTTTTTTTAAATATATTAATTCAAGAATGTTTTTAATTTTTAATGTAGTTGTATAAAAACCCCATTCTATCATTAATACTGAAAAAGTTCTTATTGTAACTTTAGAAGAAAATGATGAGAGAGGTACAATTAATCCCTTGGGATTAATTATCTAGCCTGCTGCAGAAAATTTAGTAGGCTTCTCTTTATCCGTCACTTTAAGATTTCTGAAAACTTTTGTCTGCAACTGCTGTTTGTTTGAAGTTAAGGTCAAGCCTTTGATTTTGCATTCATTGAAGGCATTTTACATAACACAAGATTTTGTTTAAATATAAATTCAATGTTAAGTTGTTCTTTACTGCCTAATGTAAATACAAGAATATTATTCTCAGGTTTTTGAATATGAATTATAAATTTTATACAGTTGCTGTTGCTTTTTCTTTGTACATTTATTAATCATTCTGTATATTTTAATTCTATTTGTATAAGCTTAAACACATATAAAATTTGCAAAACGATGTCTTAAAATACATATAACCTTTACTTTGTGATTAATATTACAAAAAATAAAAATTTTGACAAAAATTTAAAATTTAGTCCGAATTTCCTCTGCAAAGGCATACATTGAGTTTTGGTTCTGTATATTTTCTTCAAGTACTTACATACTTAAATTTTAAATTGATATTGAGATAAAACTTAGTTATTTTATCCATTTCGAACAATTCTTGATTGAATATATTATACTTTATAAAATTTCCTCTCTGATTTCTGAAACCTGAGTAAACGTCATCCTTAATAATGGTAATTTCCTGTCCTACGTCGAATCGATATATCCTGATGAGCTTGAGATAAAATGTACCGCAGAGTCCGACACTTCTGTTTCATACTTGGATATTTTACTTGAAAAAGACACCAATGGTAATCTAACTACCAAGCTATATGATAAACGTGATGACTTTAACTTTTCAATCGTCAACTTCCCTTACTTATGCAGCAATATACCTTCATCACCTGCATACGGAGTATATATATCTAAGTTGATTCGATACGCAAGAGCGTGCTCTACATATGAACAATTTCTAAAACGAGGTAAATTATTGACAAGCAAGTTGACGAAACAAGAATATCAGCAGTCTTGATGAAAGTCATCATTTCGTAAGTTCTATGGTCGATACAATGACCTTGTCATCAAATACAGTTTATCATTGAGTCAAATGCTGACTGACGTTTTTCATACCTATTGTTAGTCCATTATTTATACAATGAATTGACGACGGATTTTTCCGGTTATTTCCTGATCATGACAAGGAGCACACGGTGGGTGTGACCGGTCGGAAGGGGATGCTCACTCCTTCGTGGCACCTGATCCCACCTCTGAGGTTTCGGGGGTCCGTGTTTGCTCTGCTCTTATTTTGTTTTGTTTATAGACTTTGAGATTGAAAACTGTTCATTATCTCCATATACTTCTACATGTAATGTTGCCTACATACACGTTCCAAATATACCGTGTAAAATTTTTAGCGCTTTTCTAATTAAGAACAAATGTAATAGGCAAATTAGATTGTCATTTTAGATGATAACAAGATGTCCAGGGGGGGGGGGGGGGCACATTGTTCACCAGAGCACCCTGGGTAGAAATAAAGTAAAAATCAGATTATTATTATTAAACAGCTTAAATGTTTAAATGGTGACACGACTAACTTCTAAAAGGGAGAGGGGCGGGGAATGATTTGAATAAACATGTATGTACACTTTCTGATGCTTTCATATGAATATGATGGCCCCAACCTACCCAAAGGGGTCATGGTTTGAACAAACTCGAATTTATACCACCTGAGAATGCTTCCTTATAAATATGACCCATCATAGATTTGCTACTCTGGAAAAGATTTCTGAAATTTTTACGTATAAAAACTGCTATGTAAATCTTTGACCTGACCGTTCATTGTGGTACTATCCTACCACCTGGCATTGGGTCATAATTTTAGCAAACTTGAATTTACTACACCTGAATTTGCTTTCTCATAAATATGATCAATCATAACTTTGCCGTTCTTTAGAAGAAGATTTTGAAGGATTTTCTCTAAATACTCAAATGTTTAAATTTGATTATCCATTGTGGCCTCACCCTACTCCCGGGGGTCAATATTTGAACAAACCTGAATCTACACCAGCTGAGAAAACTTCGTAGAAGGAAATGTCCCCTTCATTTGAATTAACATGAATCCCTTTATCTCAAGGATACTCTGAGCTATATTTGGATGAAATTGGCCCAGTAGTTTTAGAGAAAATGATAAAATTGTGAAAAATTTACAACGACAATGAAGACAACAGACAGCAGAGAAATATTGATCTAGTGATCTAAAATTTTATTGTTTTTTTAAAAGACTCTAAATATGAATCTTACAAAAGAGTACAAAATGCATTTATTAGTCAGAACAGTTTTCATATGCTTACACAACAGTGGGAAAGCTCGATACTTTACACTCTCCAGTATTTAGTTAACTCATTTGTGTTTAGGGAATGTCGATTAGTAATGGAGTGCAAAGGACATAATACATCATCCCCTTTCCGAATTTCATTTTCTGGCAAAAAGTGTCATTCTATGTCCATAGCAATCGTTTGTTTTTCTTCCTTTTGACATTTAAATCCTCTAACAAATGCAATCTTTCTGTGAAACGTCCCAGTAATATCATTTAAAACACCTTCAATCCTGTCCTGAATATTGAAAGTTTTAGTCTTGTCCAAATCATTTCCTTCCTCAGATTGAAATATTTGAAGCTGTATAGATGCTGCTGTGACCGAGAGAACAATATTGTAACCATCTGAAGAAAATAAAGCTACATTTTTGTAGAGGCATGGCGTATCGCGAGATATCAATACATTCCAACCTTCTTCTTGCATACAAGCAACAACAAGACGAAAAAACAAGAAATATGGCAAAAAAGTGAAATGATAAATAAGAACTGATGATTTGCTCTTCGTCTCATTGATAAGAGCTGGAATGCCTTCCTCCATCTCTTTCCGGTTCATACACGGAACGTAGTACGATGGTTTCCTAATGGCCAGCAAACCAAGCCTTTGCATAATTTTCAAAAGTAATTCTTTATGATGGAGTAGGTATCGTTGATCTTTCAAATACAATCCAGTTTTCATTTTGTAATTTGGATCTTTGTCTTTTAGCTGTTTATGTAAGATATCATCTTTATTTTTCCAAATTTCTACCAATAGACCTTCTTGCAGATGTCCAGTTTCGTAATATTCATTCCATTCCTGTTTAGATGCATCAATACCTTTTAGGTGTAACTTGTCCGTAATGATGTGTTTGAACGCATCAATGAACCACTGCACGTCCATGATAACAGATTTCTCAAGTCCTTCTTCATTAAAATAAAGAACCTTCCCTGCATCATGATAATATCTCAGCATATCCTTAGTAGATCTCAGTTTGTCTTCTGTGTTCTGTTGATTGGGGTTCTCCGGAATCTTTGTTGCTAATTTCAGAACGTTTAAAACTCGATATAAATGTTTGGTCTGATTTATTTCTATTTCAAAGTATGCCCATTCTTTTGGAATGATCTCCGACCATCGTTCATCAGAGGCAATTTTGACAAGACGTTCTTGTAGATCATTGAGCAGAACTGGAAACTGTACGAAATAACAGTTATCCTCAACTACGTACTGCGATAAATTAGAGGTGACAGGAAATTGTTTCTGTAGACATTCCATAAAAGTGTCTTCATTCTGGAATGATTAAAAATGATAAATTAAATTACCCAGAAATTTTCCTTTTTTTTTTGATATTATGAATGTGCATGTATTAGAATTATAATATCAAAATAATTATAATGTTTACATTTTATTTAATGTTAAAGGTATATTGAACCATAATCAATGCCTATAAATCTTAATTGCCTTTATAATAAGTATATTTTGTACATTTGTTGTGTACTTTGTATTTCTACTTAACCAAATTATGAATTTTTTAGAATGCCATTTCTGTGTATCATCACACATAGAAATAAACAAGGGGAAACTCGCGCTAAAATGTCGTCACAATGTGATGTGTACTACTTTTCAATCTACCTCATATTGTCTTGTCTCCTTTTCCCAGTGAGACGCCACAATAAGAACTACGGGTTTGGGGTCCCCTTCATTCTCTTTACCACAGTAGGTGTGTATTGACTTAATCCAGAACACAAAGTACTCTGAAAGTAAATTTCAAAATACTGGCAAAATTTTCGTGTCTGGCTTAATGCAATCTCTGTTGATTAATTACTGGTTCGGTAATTACAATTCTGAACACTATATATACCTCTAAAATCGTTTCTTCTTTAAAATGCTTTACATTTATATCAGAAATGAGGTTTCAGAAATATCACAACATTTTAGCTTACCTCCATAGGTCCATCCATGGAAAACACTGCCGGATTGGTCACACACTTTAGTGTCCACCTCTTCCTCCATCTTTTTGGAAGCATCCACGACCACTATATAGAAAGCTCTCCTTGTCAGGTAGATCTGATGACAGGCATAGTAAGCACACTGCCCTCCAAAGTCGAAGAAACTTAATTTTTTAATACCATCCAGTGTTTCTTCTTTTTTATTTTCGTTGTCTTCTTTCATTGCTAAACAATTGAATATAACTATATACATTTCCTATATACATAGCAAAAATTTTATATAATGAAGTTCACCTAAAGCATCCTTTTTTTTACATAATCGATGATAAATCTGCATACCCAAAGGTCCATTCCATCATTCCCACCTAAAATATCCCAATTACAATTACGATACTACCATACCTTTCAGTTTCCCATTTCGTATCTCAAATATTTCCTCGTGGACTTCTAGTCCCTCTGTTGACGTCACATTCTGTATCTCTTCATGACTACACCCCAGCAGGCGTTTCAGTAACGTGGTTTTTCCGGCTCCAGCACATCCCACAATCATCCCCCTTGCGTGGTGCACCGTCTGCGTTCCTCGTCTGGCATATTCTAAGTACCGCTCTCTCGCCTCCTGATCCCATTTCAATATTTCACTAGGAACCTCAACTGTAATTGAAGTAAAACACAAGATATCATATGCATTAGCAGCTAGGTTTGAAATAATGAGCGAGGACACCAGTCCTATAAGTTTATACAATTTTAAACAACAGTCTGTGACGTTTCTGTAGAGATTATTCCAGGAGATATTTTAAGAAATATCTTAAAAATAGAAATAATATAACTAATAATGATGAGTAATAATAATGGATTGATTGTAATAATTGAATGGTTCGGAACGCTTTGTGCACGGAACGGTACGCTTTGTGCACAAAACGGTTCGCTTTGTGCAAGGAACGGTACGCTTTGTTCACGGAACGGTTCGCTTTGTGCACGGAACGGTACGTTTTGTTCACGACGGTTTTTCTGCAAACGTACGGTTCATGTAGTAGCACGGTTTAGGGTCTGTATGTTGTTTTACGTTCTATTCGAGGTTTTTTATTTACTCATGTAGAGAAGTCATCATATACCGGGAAAGGGCTTCAAACCTTGACCTTTACCCGTCAATCATAGACAGGGACTTTGAGCAGTGAGGGATCTTTATCGAGCCAATGCTGTGACGCGGGACCTCGGTTTTAAGGTGTTATCTGAAGGACCTGTCGCCCGAGTGGCGCAGTGGTTAGAGATTCTGCTCTTAACTAGCGAATTTAGGAGTTGATCCATACGTCGCAGGTTTGAATTTACTGTGGGACGTGGAGACGGTCCTTCGGATGAGACCGTATAAACCGAAGTCCGATGCCGCAGAAGGTGCTGGCACGAAAAAGTTCCCTCCCTGCTGAATGGCCTTGAGTGCCAAGTATAGGACAAAGTTTGCAGGTTTCCACCGGTGGTGTCTCCATGTGTGAAAATTTCTCTAGAGGGACTTTAAACCATATATAATCAATATCAATCGATCAATCAATCAATCTGAAGGACCCACAACTTTCACTTCAAGTGCAAAACGCATGGCGAAGGGACAGTTGCTACCAATTTTTTATCGACATACGTCAGTTGCAGTCAAGATATGAACACATGACCATTCGATCACCGAGCGAGCGCTCTACTGACCGTGAATGGTCTGAGTTAATGAAGTTTAAGGTTACTGAAACTCTCTCTTCATGATAAGTAGATATCAATGTAAATTCTGTGCTCCATGAATTTTGTCCATATCATAAAGTGTCAGGTATTAAATTGCTTCTAGTGTTCATAATTATATACTAGTATTTAAAAGAAGAAACACTCACAACGTTTAGCGACACTGCTATGGGCGCTCCAATCTGACATTGTACAGTGTGCTATAATGTCCGTTCCTAGCCTGTCAATAAAGAGCTCAAACCTCTTCTCCGGACTATCTCGCCGTGGTTGATGAATATATATACACCTCTCCCCCTCTCTTCTTTCATATCCCCAGGATCTACAGAATTCTGATATGAAGGAACGTGACACTGTTTCAAGGAACACATCCATATCCCTGTCCAAAACGAGGCACTCTGTCACAAATGCGTACATGACGTCATTTCTGACGTTCTCAGAGGTGAAGGTCTGCAAACTGTCATGTGTTTTTAAGATTTCAGCAGGTAAATTATCCATACTAGAATCATCAAATGAGATGTGTTCAGGAAAGAATCTTTTTCTAAAATTGTTCAGGAATGATCTGTCGTTGACATGCAAAGTAAAGTTATCTGCTAGTAGTATACTGTACAGTAAACTCCTTTCTTCCAGTGACAAATCATGGTATTTACCTGAAATTAAAGAAATTATATGTAAGAAGGTATAGTTGAAGTACTTACAATTAAAACTGTTAAGTGAATTATATTATTACCATCCAGTCTTGAACATCGCAGGGTTTTTTAACTTTCCAATTAGATAACAAATGAATCAATTTGAAGCAAATATTGACACAATCATAGTGTATTCAGACCCAAAGAAATTCTTAAAGTAGAAATATTTTAATATGTTTATATTATCATGATTATAGCAAGATGAGTCTTTATTTACATTTCTTTTATTTAAAAGAAGACTGGGATTGCATGTGAATATAGCTAGAAATTTTATTTGAAATTTATTGTGCACCATGGAATGTTAGTGTGCCCTACCGAATTGTTTTTTTAAACCCCTTTAAAGGTTTGTATTATCTCGATTCTTCTTCACATAAAGCACACAAAATTAATCGTAATTACTTCATTTAATTTCAAACTGGAAGGAAGTTAAGGTGTATTATCCATTTAACGTAACTTTTATGACTTAAGATTAAATTAAGTATGTTTACTCTAATGTCCACCGGCATAAAAAATTATCCACAGGTTAGTGCTAGTGTTTTTGAATTTTTATGTTTCATTCCTATAAAAATACCCTTCTTTGGTTTACAAATATGGCCTCTTGACCGTAGAGTTTGACATTGTTTTGCAAAGGTTTAGCTATGAATATTAAAGTTCATATTTATTACGTCGAGATCTTTGGTTATCAACATTCTAAACCTTTCCGCCTTGACCCTTTGATTGGTTGACCTTTTTAGA